CCCCCCCCCCCCCCCCCCCCCCCTCCTTTCTTCTGTGGTCCATTTTCTTACCGGAGACATTGATGAACACAAGGCCGTGTTCAAAAGGACTCACGCCCCGCATGAAAGCGGAAAAAAACAATCAAGATGTATTTTTCTTTTTTTTTTGTAAGAATCTTTTTTTTTTTTAATGAAACACAAAAAGGCAATAAAATTAAGATAAATAATTTTTCCTTTTGTACATGAGGAAATATTTAAGTCATATTTCCAAAGAATGACTGAAATTACATAATATATTTTAGTAGGCTATCTCAACAATACAAAGCAGTTTTCCAGTGGGTCTAAAAACAAAAAAACACAATGATGTCAAAACAGGATGGTTAGAACTGAATCCAGTGTTTCTTAAAGAAAAAACAGCTTAAAAAAAAAAAGCAATTAAAGACCCATAAAAGTAATATTTCAAAATTGAGTTCACATTAGATTCCTTTTAAAGCTTTTGCTTTGCAGTGTAACAGCAACGTTGTTGTTAAAAGTCAGTCAATGTCCTAAAAAAAAGAAAAAGGCAATCATGTTCTTCCTCCCTGTACATCCTATACACCGACAACACACAGTCGTCAAAGGCTTGCATAAACAGTAAGACAATGGTAAACCAGGAAAACAAGCAAACGTAAAACACACATTTTTTGGCAAAGCAGGAATAAAAGTGACAAGAAGCATAATTTGTGATTTGATCCTTATCTTGTTTTTTTTTTTGTCTCTCAACATCCTCCAATTGATTGGCTCTGATTGTCCTTCACAGTCACGTGATGCCATTCTGGTTGCCACAGTTACCTCAAGTGCATCAGCTGGGCAGCGTGCAGACATTGTTGCTGTCATAGCAACGCTGGATGAACGCGAGCAGACAACGAGAAGAACTCTACAGCTCGGTGATTGCAGGGGTCCCGGATTCAGATTTGATTGAATGTTTTTTATGTCTTTTTTCATCATATGTTTCCTTCTAACGCGGTGAAGCGTAAACTCGCAGGTGCTTTGGTATGTTTCTTTTTGATGCCAGATAAATATCTACATTTTATATAGGTATACAGGCTAAAATAGATAAAGAACGAGATTCTTTTAGGATCGGAGAACAGCAGAAACTCAGTTTCTTTTCCAGTATTTGTTTAAAAAAAAGGAAATGCACATTTTAAACCCAACGGAGTGAAAAGAATTTAGACACATGTTTAAAAAGAGCCTTTTTTTCTGATTTCCTTATAAAACATTTCCCAACCACCCTTTCTACATATTCACCCTTCGCCTTAAGCAGGGCTTACAAGCACAATGTCTTCACATCAGTTGTACAGTTTGACCCCAAACCCAAACCTCCAATCCTGTTCAGTGCATTAAGAGAGAAGCAGACTAACCCGACCTCCTCCCTCTGTCAGACCCCCCCCCCAACCCACCCACACACCCTAAAAAATCTAAATAAAATAATCTCTGCAAAAGAAAACAAAAAAACAAGAACAAATATATATGTATACTATTTACAACATGTTATATTATACATGATGATGCTGTACAAAGCACACACACACACACACACACACACACACGCCCATCTGCACGCACACCACCATGCACTCACATTTCAAATAAACAATCCAATTACCTGTACATGTGTCTTCGCACCCGAATACGAGGGTACGAGAGAGAGGTATTGACGTGTATGGCTTGACAGGAGAAGAAATCGTTTTGTGTTTCAGTCGCGGCTGAAAACTGCACGTTTTAGTACAGGAGAGATTAATATTCAGAGTGTTACCGACATACCGACGGTGTGTCGTGACGTCCTCCCTGCTCGATGAGCGTGGGTCGAACACGCGCACGACCACACATACGGTACAAACACACACGCAAGCACGTTAAAGCGCTATTTACTTAGAGCTCATTAAATGCCTAACAGGGTCATCGCAGCCACTCTGCAAACACACACATACATGCACTTACACACAAAGTCCGAACTACAGTGTTTTGTTTTTTTGGTCCTGTTGGGGATCTCCCAATCACGATGTCATAGTCAAACTACCAGTATAAGACCATTGAAACCCTCCAAACCAGTGTGGTTTACAGTAAGTCTCTGCTTACCATTCAGTCTCTCTCCCACTCTCTGAGTCAGTCTTTGTTTCAGAAAGCCAAGTCTGACACCCTCCCTCCATAGCATATCCAAGCGACTATACTCCAAAGTGCTCATGTCCTTGGTTCCTGCTCTTTTGTTGCAGTAATCTTGTCGCAGCGACGAGAAAATCTGTTATTTCAGCCAAAGGGAATGCTGTAGACTCTCGTTGCGAACAAGAGGCCTCAGTCCACATCTGATAAAGAGGTTAAATCTGGCATGGATCAGACTTTTTCCCCCAGAACATACCGGGCTCCTATAAGTGCCGGTACTGTCGGGATTTATCCAGTGGCCTAGCTCCTTCTCTTACAAGGGACGGATCAATACGCAGAGTCAAAACTCTTTGTCTTGGTTTCCCTCTGTCCCCAGCTCCGTTATGAAGGACCATCCTGGAAGCAGTCATCTCCAGAGTTCACGTTCAATATTTGGATCTCTCTCCAGCTGGTGGTGGCTCTAGGACACGATGGCCATGCCGTCCGCACTGATCAGCTGGCCCGTGGTCGGTTCGTAGGTCCCCGCCAGGTAGAACAGGTCGTCTGCCGCACTGCCAGGCTTACGATCGCGCATCAGGTGGTCATACTCAGCCCTGCTGAGCACCTGGCAGCGATGGGAGATTGTCTGCACGTCATTCTCATCCTCGTGGCTCGACTGATACAGGGCATTCTGGGAAAGAAACGGGAAGAATGGTTGATAAATCAGCAAGATAATATAAAAAAATCAAAATGTTGCTTTCAGAAGAAGTGGTCAGAATGTATTTTTTGCCACTTTCACTCTGCACTTTACGTTTCTGCAAACTTTCTTTTGTGTTTGCTCAGCCGTGGTGGATGTTGCTGATCATGCTAACTAACAAGGCTTTTTTTTCCCCATTTATTCCAAACAAACCACTATTGTTCTTGCATGAAATGCAAAACACATGACTTCCTCTGCAGCAGAGACATTTTTCCGTGGGAAAGACCCACCTTACGCTGAGTATTTAGATCTGCAAATGGTAACAGTTCCATGAAATAAGTGAGTGTTCAACCATTCATATCAGATGGGAACAGGGAATAAAAAGCAAAGAGGTAATATACTTATATGAAAATGTCACGGACTGTTACTTTGACCATTCTCATTTTAGAAATTCCGCTTGCACTCCCTGGCCTTTACCTTGCCGTCGCGGTGTCGCTTCCCCAGGCGAGTCTCCTCCGGGTGGTAAAACCACTTGACCCTGACCACCATGCTGGAGCTCCATGACTCCCAGAGGCTCTCCACTCTGCCCACGTAGGGCAGCTGGGGCCGGCCAGGTGACAGGAACACAGCACAGTCCCCGACATGCACCGTCTCCTTGCCCCTCACGATGGCCTTGTAGAAAAGCTTGCGGGCTTTACCCTTCAGACCTCTCCTCTGTCGGCCAAAGAGAGTAAAAATAACACTCACAGTCAATTTATTCAGTGTGGAGGGTTTATTTCACCACCAGCCTCATTTCACAAATCAATTTATTTAGTTTGTTTTGCTAAACCCAGTCTACCAAAGTGTGGTAAGATTCAATATGTCTTTCAAAGCCAAGGAATAGCTAATGCCTAACACCTATCATAACACACTGATCCTATTGAGTTACAGGAGTATGTTTTCTGGCACATCAATAATTCTCAACCCGATAAAGGCAATACTACTGAAAGTCATGTAGAAATTACGATCACATCAACCTTAACCCGGGGAGCACACCTATATTTCTGCCCCGTCTTTTCATCCGCTGCACATCTCAGTCAACACATGCAGCCGGCTGTTTGGGAAGCAAACAACCGGCTGAATGGAAGCCGAGAGCGACAGCGGTCGCTCAGACTGTTTTGTTCCGTTATCTCGGGATCGTGACTAAATAATCAGGATAATAAATTCAGGATGGTAAGCCTCATAGTGTTGCCAATGTGTACAAAGGACTGAGGCAGAATGAGCACTGCAAAGAGAAATGATATTTGATCATCGCATTTACTGTGTGTCACCAAAGGTGTAACACAGCAGAAACTGCCGCAACAATCAGTAACCTACTTCAGCTGCGTGGTGGGGTCGGTCACTGATACCCAGGACAGCAGTTTTCAAACCATATAACTATGATAATAACGTGTGATTATGAAAAATTACTGTCTGATTAAATCAGGATTTCAGTGAAATGGGATTTAGTTGGAAAATAAATCACAAAAAAAGAGCGATATTGGAAATACTATAACTCTTTAAAAGCATCTTGGCTATGGAAAAAGGACATGTCAAAATACAACCCAGCGTGTCCTACCTGTGTGGGGTTGCCGGACCATTTCCAGAGCTGGCGTCCAGGCAGAAGGGGGCTCCCCATATTGGTCAGAGGCTCAGGTGAGGACATCCGTTGCCTCTTAGCTGTTGCTGGGTCCTTGGATGCAGGTTTGGTCTGCTGGCTCACGGGACTGCTCTGCCTCTGATGGTGGCTGCTAGAAATTCCTTCTTTCCTCTTCAGCTGGTTCTTAGCTGTGCCACTGTTACCCGTCATACTTCCTTTTGACATGAACTCCTTCCTGTCGTCTGTTCTGTCAGCCCTTCCCTTTGACCCCGAGATGGCCATGCCGGCTTTGGCCACGTAGCCATGTGCCGGGGCTGACGCGGAAGGAGAGGAGCCGGAGTTGGTGGGGTCGGGGCTCAGGAGGTCGGAGGTCATGTTCTGCCTGTGCTTGCGTTTGTCCTGCTGGAGCAGCGCGCGGCGCAGCAGCACAGAGGAGGACTCTTCGTCGGAGGAGTAGGAGGAGTCGTTGTCCGACGAGCAGAGGGACGAGGACGAGATGGAGCCGGAGGAGGAAGAGGAGGAGGAAGATGAGGAGAAGCAGGGAGAAAGACGGGAAAGAAAGCGGCCACCGGGGTGGGACGTGTCCGCCGCACTACTTTGAGGTGCGTCGGCATCCTGACCATCATCCTCATCGTCCTCATCCAGCTCAGAGTAAGAGCTGGGGCAGTCACTCGGGTAGTCCAGACTATAATCGCCACCTTGGGCTCCAAGACCTGCTGACGGCCGATCCTTTCTCGGAGGTGGGGCGCCCTTTACAGTAGGCTCAGGACGGGTCCCAGCGGCGTCTCTTTCCCCTCCTCCCTTCTTGCCATCCTTCACCATCAGGGTAGGGTGGATGTATCGCAGCGGTGGTCCAGCGGAGGAGACACTCTTGCCTCCCTTTCCTACACTTCCACCGAGTCGTAGCAGGGCCTTGCCGTTCTTTGTTTTCGGGGAGGTTACTCCCTCATGGTCAAGCTTCACCAGGAGCTGTTTCCTGTTGCGTTCGCTCGCCGGCTTCTTACTTCCAGCTACCGTTGCCACGGTGACAGCTGAGGAGCAAACGGAGGACGAGGAGTCCCGTAGGACCGTGGAAGCTACTGCGGCGACCGGTCGCCCCGCTCCAGAGCTTCCGCCACTTCTGAAGGTAGAGTAGCTGTTGGCAATGCTACTGAATGAGTCACCTTCAAAAGGGGAGCCAAAGATGCCTTTGATAGGCACCGGCGGAGCGAGGAGGTGGGAGGTGGGTCGATGAAACAGCCCCAAGTCTCGCTCTCGTATCCTCCTCTGGGTCTTACGAGAAGTCCCGTTGAAGAGGAAGAAGTCAACTGGCGGTCTCTTCCTGGGAGCTGACCAGTCCAACAAGGAAGTGTTGCCTTGGGTTAAAGTGTCTGTTACTGATGTTGGTGTGCTGGCCGTCTTAGGCACAGAGAGGACTTTCTTCGGCCTGCCAACTGAAAAAGGAGACGGCAACAGAGGGGAGTTATAATCAATATGAAGTGACAGGTCTTCAGAGCAGACTGGGATAATTGTGGAACTAAGAGCTTTGAAGAAACGTAATATCTTCATCTCCTAGATCTCCACCTAGCCAGCTAGGTTTCGACATGTCCATTACTCAAACTACAACAAACCTGGCAAACCTGTCTCTCCCTCCAGCTTTAATGTCACCTGGGGTTTGTGATGAGAAACACATGCAGTATGTTGCTTAACAACACAAAACACAATGATGAGACCTCGTAAAAGCATGATTAATGTCGTCATACAGAGGTTAATTGATAGGCGGCAAACAAGGAATATTAATGTACGAGTCTTCTGGTATTTATACCTTCACTCAGTGCTCTCCTGTGACTCGGAGGCATCTGATAAGTGGTTGACAGTTGAAACTGTAAATGAGGATTTGTTTGGACCTTAAGGTATATGTGTCTCTGAATGCATTTACTAGTTAGACCAGTACTTCTCAGTCAACATAAAGAAAAAGAAAAAGCTTCGGCCTTCGGTCTTTCTTTCACATATCAAACTTATGACGTGTTATAGCTGATTAAATTATAATAATTCTTTGAAACCTTTATGTGTTTGTTGGAGATGGACATGCGGTCCTAAACTAAGTGTTGCATCTGCTCCCTTCTCCCTCACCTGGTCTTTTCTCTTGGGGCCTCCCTGCTGGCTCCTCATTGGCTGGTTTCTCTGTGGGTGTGTCTCTCCTCTCCTGGGTGGAGCTTCGTCTCCCGCGGTGCCCTGGTGAGATCAGCAGAGCCGGAGAGGGTTCCGCACCTGACAGAGAAGAGTTGTCAAATGGCGATTGTCAAATGATGGTCATTTATTCTGTGTTCCTGTCTTCCCATCCTTCTTTTTAAAGCTGTACTCACAGCAGATTTGGTATCCTGGGGGCAGAAGCCGGATGTTTGTGAGGGAGATCCTACCCCTGTCTCCATCATCAAACTCCACCATCACACTGCCCTCCTTCTCTTCCTCACCTGGACCTCCTAAAGCACAACACAGAGGACATGAAGTTGATGGGAACATACCGGTGTGTGTGTGTGTGTGTGTGTGTGTGTGTGTGTGTGTATGCAGAGTCAGGTCGTCGGTGTTTCTCGCTTACCTCGATGGACGTATCCGGGGTAAAGACAGCGAGAGCGCTCGCTCCAGTACGCGCACACTCGCGTCCCTGCAGTCAGGATGGCCTCGCTCTGGGGCCTCACGTCTAACACCTGGAGAAAAAAAATCAACGCGGGTTGAGTTTTAGTCAAAGCTACCCAGCAACTCCCCACAAATCTGTAAACTGTAATAGATGCAATGGAGACTGAAACTCACAGCTTCCTGTAGTAGTTGCTCCAGCGAGTAGATCCGGGGGCGATTCCCTCGTTCTCCTTCGATGACAACACTGAATCTAAGAGGAAACAAATATTGAATTCCTCAGAAACCTAAACTTTGTTTTGATTTTTTATTTATAATTCAAGCACAATTTCCCACCGTTAGATTTCAAGGTTGTCTTTTTCAAAAAGGGGATTTTGTCATGCATGCTCAGTTTTGTTTTTTTCACTGGCAGCTGTGTTGGCTGCCACTGCTGTGTGTGTTGGCTTTGTAGAAGTCTAGACTTCTTGTTTGTCAAGATTCACACAGTTGTCAGGCATTTAACTAGAGCTAAGCTAAGTTTTCAACTCTTTTGTAAATCATGGGAGGCTCTTGTTTCTATATGTCTTTTTAGCACTTAACTCCAGGGTTCCCCCCAGGATATTGTGAAGCTGAGGTGGTTATCCACCCAAATGTTGATGCATCGCCTATTGGGACTAATAGATGACGGAATAAACTGCAGTCATATATGGCAGTTGCTGTGTGAAATTAATCACTGCTCTTTCCTTTGGAATGTTAATGTTTTATTTTGTGAGGGGATATGCATTTTTTTAGCCAAATGGTGTGTATCTGTGGTGACACAGCAGGGAAGAAGGGACTCACATGTCAGGCAGGTCCAGAGATTGGACACAGGCGGCATACAGCAGCTCGTCCTCCTTGGAGATCAGGATCTTCAGGCCGTCCACCAACATCTCTTTACTCAGCACACAGTTTGGCAGGGCTGCGGAGGGAGGGCGTGGTAGAAAGATGGATGGATGGGGAAGATAAAGGGTGAGATATGCATAATTTGTGAGTGTGTTGAATAATTGCTAAGTGAAGTGAAAAGGAGGGATAAAAAGGCAGAGAAAGAGGTGTGTGTGCACATGGGAAAAGGATCCAACATGCTTTTTAAACCCGCATGCGTGTGTGTAATTATATACGATGTGTCACTGTTTATGCCTACCAGGGATTCTGCATGGCATGTTGGGAGGGAGGTGGATCAACTTCATCTCCTCCTCCTCCTCCTCCTCTTCCCCTTCTTCCTCCTCCTCCTCCTCCTCCTCTTCCTCCTCCTCCTCCTCCTCGTCCTCCTCCTCCTCCTCGTCCTCAGAGAAGCTGCTTTCCTCATCCAACTGAAAGCCGTCGTCGGCTGCAAAGCTCTGCAGGAGCCGGCTCACTGCGTGGCCCTTGGCCTGGACGGGAAACATGATGTGACATCAGTAGGCAGAAAGCAGGATATGGTAACACTTCCTCATATGCCCATATTAATCCACAGTAAACCGGCTCTGCAGGTAAGTGAATCAAGTCGATTCCAGTCTGATGTGGCAGAAATGGTAAATCCGTCAGTGAAAAGAAACCACAGGCACCAGCGCCTCTTGTAATGTGATACTTCAATAAAGCCTGCAGGGTTTTCTTTTTCTCACTTAAAAAGTCAGAGGTCTCAGTCAGTAATAACCGCAGCACTTGAACAGGTAGGACCAGTGTATTGCTCAAGGACACTTCAGCAGGGTGGACGCCTACTAATAAAAAAACTTGAACCCTCATTTACATTCTCAGCCTCACACACACACACACACACACACACAATCACACAAACCAGATACTATCCATCTCCAGACCGGTTTAGGCTAGTCTATCCAAAGATGACTGATGACTGACAGGTTTCTGCTTGTATTTAGGCTTTCTAAAGGAAAGAACATAATATATAACGCTAAGAGAAATCGTGTGAGTGAGTGTGTGCGTGTGTGCGCGCATGTGTTGTCTCTAGATTTTCCACACTAGGAGACCATATATTTTAGTGACAGAAGTTTCGTCACCAGAGGGCATGGGTGATTATTTCTCTTTTAGTGCTGGTGGTGTGTGTCTGTGTGTGTGTGTGTGTGTGTGTGTGCAGGCATGCATGGGTGTGTGTAGGGTTACGGCCAATCATTATCTTTATATCTCACTGTTTGGTTAGGAGTTATGTGTTTTTGGACATTCCCTCACAATGAGTCAAAGAGTGAAGCAACCCCGGGGCATCTCTCATTAAAATGAATGTGGGTGTCTTGCCAACGGCTGCCTTCTCGAATACAACGGGCCAGTGGTGCGTTAGCACAGCATGCAGGCATGCAAACACATACCTACAACAATAGCAAATTGTATATTTGACAAAGTGACTGATTTGCAGATGATGCTAAGCATCTTCCTGTAAGGGATTTCTGTCAACTGTAATCTACAGTATTTAAAAAACGTCCTGCCAGGGTGCGGCTTGCTTCAACAAGGAAGGAGTGAACTTGACGTGAGGGCTTTTCTGAGAATTCCTCCTTGTTTCTCTTGCTTTCTCAGGCCAAAAGGGAGGGAACTTCTCCGAGTCATCGTTCTTCCTTTACTCACATTTACCCATAGCTACTTCCAAGAATAATGTGATTACAATCCGTACAACTCTGTGACAGCAGTCATTTATTGTGATTCTCATTGTGTGACCTTTCCATCACACCTCTAAAATTGGCAATTGCATCTCACCTTTCCCTTCTCAGTTCTCTTTCATGCACTTCTGTGTTGATGATCACGGGAAACAAAATACCAGAAACTCAGACAGATTCTGTCCCCCTTAAATGGATTTTGAACTTTAGAAGAGCATTTCGTTGTACAGCTTCCTGCTCTTGATATAAATATAATGTTCAAGTTCAGTATTTTATTGTGCATGTTTTTACGACCTAAAAGTGCAAATTTCCTGGAGCATAGGAGCAAACAGTCAACGCGTATCATGTACAGGAAGTTGTACAACGTTGTAAAAAGTTCAACACGTCTTCAAGGGGTACAGAAACACCATAATTCCATACTGTCTTGTTCCCCTGATCATTTCCACAGAAGTGTACAGATGAAGCAGCTGAGGAGGGAAATGCAAGAGGCCAGTTTTGAGGGTGTAAATGTGACAGAGTGTCATAAATCCCTGCTGTCAGGGAGTAATCTACTCGTTGAATAGCTGTCACTGGCAAAAGTAAAATACTGCTGTTACACTGTAAGGTTAAAAGTCACCACCCAACACCGGTCCTCACCTTTCCCAGAATTCCCTGTCCCGATGATCTCTTCCTCATGGCTTCCTTGCTGGCCCTGCTTACTTCTGTCATAGAGCCATGGTTCCCCTGGCCGTCCCCAAAGCTGCAGCCCACTGACGACACCCCCCAGCTGGACAGAGACGCTCTTTTGGTCCCTAGGTGGACTGGATGTCCCCTTTCTGTGTTGGCCAGGCTCGGCCTTCTGGGCACTCTCCTCTGATCTGCGCGGGGCACGCTCCTCATGCCTGAAGGTGTAAGTGACATCATGGAAATTAGAGCTGGCAGATAAATTGTCAATATCTGATATTACATTATAAACAGTCATAAATCTTGTTTAATACGAGGTTAGGAATGTAGGTTTTCTTGGTCTTGGAGGCCGCATAACGGTTATCTGACACAACGTATTACATACATATTAGATTGTTCGAGGTGATTTGATGAAGAAAGACTTGCTTGGCCATCCTATCAACATCACTAATATGACAATGTTTCTTCCTTGCTCTAATTTAGATTAAAGATGAGAAGAAAATGGAACCACAAACCATCCATAATAAATAGTTAACACTGTTACTGGTTGGCGAAACCTGAAGTCAACCTTGTTTTTAGCTGAACTGCCATACATTTCCAAGTGTATCCTTTTAAATTGTGAAACTTTTCAAAACTTCAATGAATGTAAATTTCTCTAAAACCTAGGAAATCGTGTTCATTTCAAGTGAAACACTGAAAGTCACAAAGTCACAGGGTGTTAGCAGAATGTATAAAGACATGTATAAAGGTCTCATCGGGAGGCCCTGGTCTCTTACTCCTGGCTTTCTGGTTTGCTTGGAGCATGGAGGACTGCGATGAAAAGGGCACAATCCCGCCAGGGTTTGCAGGAGCTTCTTTAGAGGATGAGCTAATCTTGATGTCACCGGCTCCATCTTCGCTGGCGTAGCTGCCGTCGCCGTCGTCGTCCTCCTCCTCTGTGGAATCACAACATCAATATGCTCAGTCAGAAGGCGTCAAGTGATCTGCATGTAAACACTCTTAACTAAAGCCCGGGACTCACTTGATGAAAAGTATTGACAGCAAGCTTTCAATATTCCTCTAGCATCCACGGTTCACAAGCTTGTAGCTAAACTTACGTCATCGTAAATACAAAAAGTTAGATGAGCAAACGGAGAAAAGTGGCAGTTGATTGACTTTTCTCTGAGGGCGTTTTTAGGTGGGGCATTTTATCACATTAACTGCAAGCTGCACAATAACTAACTGCAGTGATGGGAAGCAAACGATGACACCATTGCACATATGCAGCGCGCACAAACTCGGACAGAAACACAGACTGTTATTGGCAGCTGTGTGCCGCTGACTGCGGGGGGTTGTGTCGGGTGTCAACACATCTCTGACACACTTGTCACTTACACGGCGCTCTCGTCAACACTTTGCTTCGGTCACACACAAACACTGACACACACACACACACACACACACACACACATCCAACCACTACTTGATATCAAGGCAACAAGGTCAATCGGACTGTAGATTTCCTGAAGTTTTGTTAGTTTCAGATCGGACCGTGCCTCTCCTGTGAGGCATTCCTTTAAAAGTCGGGAGGAATGTGATTGTTTTTCCTCAACTCGCGAGGTTGGCGAGGTGAAGAAGAGAGGGGAAGACCGGGGTGTGAGATTCTGAACAGGGCCAGAGTGGGCTCACGTTACCGTGTGGCGTTGAGGGCAGGGGTGGCTGTGTTGCATGCCTGTGGCAAGTCGTTAACGGTTTTAACGTCGTGACAGATGAGCTGGGAAGCGAGAGGAGGGCCCCCTGATGATGGCAGACATCTCACTTCCCAGGCGCTTCGGGTGCGCGCACGCATACACACATGCACACAAACACAGTGATGCACTCTCAATGCGAAATCACACAATGTCTGGTTGATGTTCTGTGAGCCATCAGCCAAATCAGCGCTGCTTGACTCACATGTGTAATAGCCTGTGAACTCTGCTGGCTGGCTGGAGGACACACCAGACTACATACTTGTGTGTGACCTGTATTATAACTCACCGCCCTCTGAGCTCTCGCTGTCACTCCTCTCTTCTCTAACGTCCTGTTTCTCTGAGGAGCGGCCGATCTGGTGGTGAGCTCTGTTTGTGTTGACGGCCATCAGCTCTTTGGGCTTTCGACCCCTCTTCCTCTTCGCAGTCTGACTAGTTGCCCAGTCCAGCTGCAGGTCTGATGGACCAACAGCAAGAGAGGGAGTTAAGTCTTAGGGGGCTACTTAATGGACAACAAGTGTCTGTATATACCGTTTATGCTCCCTCTGTACTTACCTTTTCTTCCTTGTCTGCGGTGACTGTTGGAGGCGCCTTCCTCACCAGGGGCCCCTCTGCAGTGCAGGATGTCTGCCGACGACGGTGCACCTCGCTGGGCCACAGCCTTCTGCTTCAGCTGGGTCACCCGCCTGGCCAGCCTGGAGCTCAGGGCGCCGGGCCGGCCTCTGTGCTTACAGCGAGCTTTCATCTGGAGACCGGGCGGGAAACAGCTAATTAGTGACTCATTTATTTTCGCTAATTGACATATCCAGGAAAGTAAAAAAACAAAACATAAACAGTAGTGTTTGTCAGAGTGTGTGGATGAACCAGGACAGACCGCAGGGAGAGAGACCGACCTGTGCAGTGCTGAGGCTGTTGAAGCCGTGATTGGACAGTTTCTTCCTGGCTTTTTCCTCCAGTAAATTCAGCCCGGCTCTGGAAAACATAAGACCACAGCAGAGACTTCAATGAGAATTTATCATACGTAAAACAGATTACAGAATCAAACTGATTGCACGTTTCTTCCCTTTCCAGGATGATTTTCTTTGCATCTCTACTCTCCTCTTTCTAGTTTCGCCTCCCTCTCTGCTGGGTTCATTCATTGTCTCAGTCCCTCCCCACTTTTCCTCACTGTCTCATCATTTTGATGAGGTAAGAGGCGGTCTCTGCCGACCGTCTGCGCAGTTTAACGGCAAACACAGAAATAGTCAGCGGCCGTGCGAATATGAAACTCCGCTGAATCACCACATGAAAGGATCAGACTGATCTGGTGTGTAGGAGAGTGGAGAAGAGACAGAGGGAGAGACAGAGGGAGGAGGAGAATAGTTGAGGGGGAAGGGAAAGAGACAGAGACAGAGAGAGAGATGAAGCAGTCTCGGGGGAGTCTGTCCGTTGACCGGAGCTTCGGGGCTCGATCGATAAACACTAACCTCTATTGAACACTACTCCTCCCTTCCTCCCTCTCTCTCTCTCTCTCTCTCTCTCTCTCTCTCTCTCTCTCTCTCTCTCTCTCTCTCTCCGTCATTCCTTCATTGTATGCATGCTCTCTCATACCACAGGCAGCCAGCACACACACTCACACACACACACAGCAGCTCACACACTCTGTTAACAGCTGGTGTCTGAGGCAGGTGAATCCTATATTCCCACAGAGGGAAGGTTTGGCTCTCAGCATCTCTGCTCCCAGGAGAGGAGAGGAAGGAGAGGAGAGGAGAGGAAAAAGAAAGGAAAAGATCGATCTATCTGAAGAAATTGTGTACAAATATTTGAAAGATCTGTCCGTCCATCCATCAAAACCAAATGTGTCTGTTGCAACCCTCCCCTGCCTGATAGTTCACCTCTGACCCCTCTGAGCTTCTAAGCCACAAAGTTCACCTCATGTCATGTCCTCACCAATGGTACGATTAGTGTGCATGCACATTCTGTATACTAGAGTAAATGGCCAAAGTATGTATGGTTTGGATTGGGGCCCATTGTGTGCACAGGTACATAAAGGGATAATTTTCCAAATTTAGTTGTTGAAGAACTGAAGGCTTGCACAGAGCCCTGATCCCGACTCAATCCAACACCTTTGGAATGAATGGGAGTGCCGCCTGTCAGTCGGGCCTCGAGGCGTCAGCATGCTTCAAATGCAGTGCTTTCGGATCACTGAGCAGCGGCTGAGACCAACTCCCCCAACACTTTTCCGATGATGCAACCCGAGAGCTGCATCCGACAATTTTTGTAACTTTCCGAAACTGAAAATATAACAATCACGGCCACTTTGCACCGCGACTTGCCAGATGTGCAAAGGAGAGAAAGTAAGCAGGGTTTAAACTACTGCCATCTCTTTTTGTGTGCACAGTCTCTCCTTTAATGCCTCCAAGCGTGTACGTTGTTATCCCTATTTGATCGATTATCACGCCTTGGCCCACAAGGAATGGAGGCTGTTATAGCGCTGTGTTAATGCCCGTGGTTTTGGGATCACAACAATCGCTGTTCAACAATCAACAACAACAAAAGATGCTCATATGTTCATATAGTTTTGGCCAAATAGTGTACATGTGTGTATCAAGACGGATTGTCTGCTGAGTTTGGAAACGTTACTATGCCTCTCTATCCCTCAGCCTCTCGCTGTTTCATTTCAAACTACAACTCTCTCGAGAAGATGAAAGTGTAAAGAAATGATACACTGCTTGTTAATGACAAGAGAAACGCGGCTCAGGCACGTAGCAACCAGCGCTACTAATTAAACAAGTTGTGTGTGTGTGTGTGCTGCACAAGCATGTATGACTAAAGCCTTTCATTGTCATTTTCATTAGCGCATTCCAATCATGGTTACCGTGACAAACCCTGAGTTTCTCTAATCATTCTATCAAGGCGAGGGGTGCACATGCTAACAGAGGTGGGGCAGCATGAGAAAACACATTTATCTCTATGAGTGTTGAACACTGGCAGTGTGTGAGTGTGGGTTTCCAGCATGAAAGTGTGCATGTCGAAGGTGTTAAATAATGTGTGGCTGTGTGATGCAGCGGGCAGGGGGGTGTTGTTGAGTCGTTTATCACTGTGATAACTGATGACTGATCAGGACTTTGTCCAGCTGCATTAATATATGCTCGAGGTTCACGGGGAATCAGGACACAATCAATGCAAGTGATAAATATGATTCAAAGTGATTAATGATGATTAATGAAGGTCTCATCTCCATTACCTTCTCTCATTTAAAAAGAAATCACACCTAGCTTATACAGCTCCCATCACATAACCCATATGTGTGTGTGCGTGTTTGTGCTCGTGTGCGAGCTGCTCCTTCCAGCGCCCAATCAAGCAAATCATCAACTATAGAGTATTTGAATCAATTCAGCTGAAGAAGAACTTCTTGAAAATCAAGCGTGCCTTTCAGTAAGAACACAAACAGAAATCAGGATGAATGAGCTGGGCTTGCCAATCACACTGATTATACGGACGCAGTATCAGAGGACTGACCTGAATCTTTTGGAGCTCTCGGCAGCAGCTGGGCCGGGGGTGGACTTGCGCTTGCGGGGGCGGCCGGGCCCCCGTCGGGCAGGGCTTCGAGACGTCTCCTCTTTTCTGCAGAGAGGAAGACAGGGATGGGGGGGGGGGGGG